GAAGAGCACTAGCAGTGATGTCTGGCAGAAACTGCATCCCTTTTAGAAGCAGGTTAGCCCAATTTGTATGTGTATCATATTTATTTCAAAGCCCTTCTGAATTAGCTGCGGAATTGTACATACCCAGTCAAGTGGGGGACAGGCGAGCCACGTTCAGGGAAAGGAATTTAAGCCCTTCTTACAGTCCAAGAAGGCATAACTTCTTAAGCAGTACCCTGAGACCCAGGGGATCCCAGCTGCAGTCCTGGCTGTTGTACATACCCCACGTCTAGCCTCGAGGGAAGTCCTCAGTTCAGCTAGCAATTTCGGTTAGGGTGCCTTCCCCAGAAAGCCAGTGCGTCGGAGAAGGACGCTCAGTGTCCGCAGAGGTTTTAACAAATAGAGACCGGTCTGGCAGACTAACCAGTATGTGCTTAAGTCCATCTCTACTGAGTGAAAAAGGAATGTGTATACCTGGAATTTCTTGATATTGCTGCCTTGAGAGCTGAAGGGTGGGAGCTGTGATGGGGAACTCCAGAGAAGTGCATGCTCTTACCTCAGCGGTACCGGTGTGCGCAGGTGATTGGGACCCTGTGTACCACAGGAGGGGAAGAGAGCGCTTCCTACACAGGTTTTCCTGTCCAGAAAATGCTAATTTTTGAATTCAGAAATAGTAAGAGGCAGTAGCAGTCACCTGACTTTCACCTTCTAAAAGTTATGCGTGTAATTAAGGTACTGTTTAATTCCTTCTCTGGTGAGTGAAGAGGAGGCATCTCCACTCAGGGGTTCATCTTGCTTAGTCTTGGATAAGATGAATCATGCCCCTTCTCCCTCTTTCCTTCTCGCTTTCTCATTCTCTCTCCTTCTTAAGGTAATTAGCTAAACTTCAGCTTATTACCCAACTTTCAAGATAGCTCAGGTCAGCTAGGTGAATCACACCTAAGAGGCAGGTGTGGGGACCAAGTTTTGCTTCCGTTGAAGAGCCCTTCCCAGTATACCAAATCTGAGGTTTATGAAACTTGTTGCGAATTGGAAAAAACAACATGATCTGATCTGTGTGAATGTATGATTTTAAAATACACTTTTAAAACTGTGTAAGCAGGAGGAGGAATGGGAAAATCCTTTTTTTACCCCAAGACAATTAATGGACTGGAAACGAACACTTCATTCAGACACACTAATGGGGAGGAAACAACTTCTGTCTTTGGGAAATGTTTTCTTTTGAAAAACGTTTTCTTCAGGGCGGACTGGCAATATGCTTTCCTGGGTTGAAGCTCAATGTGTTTCCACTTGAATGGCAGAACTGGGGAGAAAGATGCCCCATGCTTTACTTGGCTATACAGGTTCTTGTCCTGATTGGAGTCTGCCCAAGGAGCTAGAAAGGAAGAAACTAAAGATTATGATATGCTTGTACAGAGCATTTCCTTACAGATGCAGAATTAGATTTCTTTCCTCCGCTACTGCTCAAACGGGACAAGGAATAAAGCAGTGGGAATTAACAAAGAGGGAGAGGGTTGGTTGTGGGAGGGAGCTTGAAAAAGGCAGGCAAGCCCAGTGAAACTGTTCCAGATTTGGGGACAGAAGTGAAGTCTGGAGTAGGAGAGAGTAAGGCGTATTCTTCTGTGCCGGTTGCCAACGAAAGATGTCGTTTAGCGCTCTCTCTGCTTGTCTGGTAGGCATGTTCACTAGGAACTAGGTGGAGGCAATCGTGTGATTTAAGCATACCTGAGCTACTTCAGACAATTGCCAAGTGAAGACACAGTGGACGGAGGAAGAAGTGGGGTTCAGGAGAAAAACACGGGCTTTTTTCCCCTGTGATAACTTGGGCTCAAGTTCCGGTTCTGCCTGATTTTGAGCAAAGCAAAGAGTCAGCACTCTATTTTCCTGCTGTAAAATGAAGATCATATGACGTTACGGCAGCAGGAAGATTACCAGACATTCCAGTGATAGGAATAGCTACATTTGAAGGCGCATATCCTGAGAGATCTTAGTGAATGTCAGATGCCCTGTCCTATGGAGACGAGTTTGCCCCGTGTTTGACATCAGTTTGTAATGATTCCTACCTCTGGCCCTTGACGGTCACGTCTCTCGGGAGCCGTTTCTGGAGTAACTGGTTCGATGCTTGCGGTGGGTCTCTGTGCTTGAGCTTGGATTTGTTGCTCTTGGTGGTTTGTTTGGGCTTTTATTCCCATTCATTGCTGCCTTTGGCACAGGACACCCGTGGTAGTATTCTGCAGCAGTGTTATTTCAGGGTGTGAAAGATTCTTAGGCCTTTAATCTGGGAACACAAACTACATCTGTCACCTGGGTATCTGTAGCGGTTTCCAAGCAACCACAAGAGTTTATTTTTTTTCTGCAATTCATATTTAAGAAATAATTTGCTCATGCATGAACCAGAATCAGCCTGAGCACCACCCCAGGAGACAGAAATTGTAAACTGTAATTTAGGCTAATTCTAGTCTAAAGCATGAATTAGAGTATTTTATATAATCTTGGAAAATATACCATATAAATATATGTAAGCACAGAACAGGTACAATTAATGTGAGCACAGTAGGAAGCTTTAAGTAACTCTGGGAATGTGAGAAACCAAGTTGGAACATATTCTTGACATGTAAAAATATTTCCCACCTGCCTTGTTTGCATAAGAACAAGGTTTTAGCAAGTACATATTTGCATGTCAAAGTTAAAAGCGGGGAAAATATTTTCACCCTCGTAAGAAAAATGCATAATCTTGGCACAGGCAATTTGCATTTAGTAAGTTTAAAGTATCGACCTCCTTTCATGCTGCATGGAAAGTGTATGAACTTGCGACAGGGATTCCATTTCAGTGAGTTGATTTGCGAAGGCAGCCACGTGGAGCGGTAGTTGATCTGATGTCTTTCCGTGCATTAATTTGTAATACAATTGGTTGTGGCAGTCCCGAGCGATTTATGCTTCTGAGTTTCTTCCCACTGTCCTGTATCTCAGAGTGAAACAATAAGCTGAAGTTTTAAGTGCTGCGTGCTTAATTAAGTACCTTGAAGATGTAGTAAATTCGAGGAAATCTGGAATTCTAAAAACGTATCTGATTTGGTAGTGCTGCTCGTAGACACAGTGGTTGGCAAATGCTGGCAGAGCTGGAGCCTGTGAATCTGTGGAGATTCTCTCTAACAGTAAAGCACCCTGGAAAATGCGTTTGGGACTAATTATGGCACCTTTTACGCTATTAGTAACCTAGCTTTAGGCCGTCGCTTTGAAGGCGTGTTACATTCCTTCAGAAACACTCTGCAAATGTCCTGTTGCTTAAGAAATAGGGATTGCGTGGACAGGCTTCGTGGGTGATTTAACTAATCTGCTGGAGATTGTAGATAAACAAGATCCAATTTTATCGTACCTACTCAAAATAAGGCAGTAATTATGTATATAAAAGTGAAATGTAAAAAATACATTGCCATGTAGCTGTTGAGATAAGCCTTGTCACTAGCCTGCCAAAGGAGTTGGAGAAGGCTGCTGACTCACTGTAGCAGAATAGAAAGATAATCATATATTGAAAAGGCACAACTGGGGGATCGGGAGATGTATTCCGGAATTTGCCCGCAGGATTGCTGCTGAATTTGAACTGCACGTTATACAAATCTGGAGCTTCTGTCAACTTCAGTCTGTGCAAGTTGTTGCTGTGAAGTGGGGCTATGCTACCCTTCCTGCCAGCAGCTTTTTGTTCGTAAGCATGTGAGACACTGGCAATAATTAATGTAACACATTAACAAAATGGCATACACTTTATTTTTCCCTTTTATTAGTTCACTTCCTGCTCCATTGTGCTTAGTGTGTTAAGTGGAGAGCAAAGTGAAATTAAAACAGTTTTTGTAGGACTGCAGGGAAGAAGGGTTTCCTTTCTTCAGTGTCCTAAACAGACCTTTTAATTTCAGCCTATCGTTTTGTTGCTGCAGGGAAGGTGGGGGATTAAAGGTCAAGAACATGAGGATCCTTATGATGGAAGCAGATGCAAGTGGTGTCCTGCAGTATGAAAATATTTTGGAAGCTGCTGATACGGAACTGTCGGGAAAACAGCAATGTAGTCCTGTAGCTGCTGGGCACTGCTTTCCTCAAGCAGAGCATTTTAGCTGCCATTAGGTTCCTGGGAGCAAATGGGTACTATGCAGGTACTACTCAGCTGCTCCGAGCATTGCATTTGGTGTCATCTGGAGAATATTTTGAAGGGGAGTTGTAGCACAGCCAGTGCCGTGCTAAAAGTCTGCTGGTCTTCTAGTTTATCGTTATCTTACAGTTTTGGCCCAATCCTGTAAGGGATTGCTTTTTTGAAAGCACTGTTAAGAGCACAACTGAAGTTAAGCAAATGCATTGTAAGACAGTACTCGATGCGGTTTTGTTTCTTGTCACGGTCTGGATAGCCATAAACTTCACGAAATAAAAGCTCTCTGAAACAGTGGAGCATCTTGTTCCTCACGGGAGATTAACAGCACTTCTGATTGTTAATATATCGCAGCTAGAGACACAGCAAGAGTGGTGTTTGTGCTCCTGTTCGGACTGAGCCGGTTCAGGAAAACTAATGTAGCCTGATCCAAACACCACTGCGGAAGAGAAAGTGCTTTCTTGGGATTTTTTGGGTTATCTACCTAATGCGTACGGTCTGTGTTTGTGTAAGCACATGCAAGTAAAACGTGGACTGTGGGTCTTGATACTGTAAAGCGCTGCCTCAGGACGGGCTTATCCAGAAATTACTGCAGCCGTATACTCCAAAAGCAGTTGCAGAGGTATTCCTGAGCATACAGAAGTCCCTTCTTATTAAGTCCATGTATTCAGATGGGAAGCTGCTGTGATACAGAGATAACATGCGGAGAGTGTCGTCACACACTAAACTGAATGCAGTAGGTATGTTTTACACGTGTGAAGTTTAATTTAAAAAATCGGGGCTTTCATACCACATCTCTCTATGACATTTTCCGACACCTCTGTTTTTTTGTAAGATGACCAGAGCAATACTGCTGTATTTTTCTCCCTCGTTTGTTCTGTGGTAGCTAATATACGAATACATACTGATAATTCACTTCCAATTCGGGTATGTGAATTTTGGATGTCTTGTGTCAACTGTAGTTGCTATTTACCTTGTTACTTCTCTTCCGGACTGGCCAGTGGTGTGAAGTGGATGGCATGGAGGTGACCCCTCTGGTGAAGGGGGTGCATTCGTTTTCAGGCAGGATGAACTTCAAAATTACCTTTTACGATCTCACAGGAATAAGATTGGAAGAAACCTTTCAAGCGTCGTCTTAGCTCTTTGGCCAAAATGTGGACTCTCCTGTTCTTTTCGGCCTTGGAATGCTGATTCTGGCTTTCTTGTGGGTTCTTAAAACACCTTCTCAAATGACCCATTTTAATAACCCAAAAGCTATTATATAATGAGCAGCCATAATTTAGTCCAAAGCTCTAGGGGACCCTTGCAGTTCAGCAATGAATAGTTAATGCAGTATAATGTTTAGCAGGTTATTAGTTTTCACTGTACAAACGCTGATCAGGGAATGCTTTTATAAGGTGTTTAAAAGAAAATGTAATTAACTGGTTGTGTGCTTCTGTTGCAGCTCAAATTGAAATTATTCCATGCAAGATCTGTGGAGACAAATCATCAGGAATCCATTATGGTGTCATTACATGTGAAGGCTGCAAGGTAAGCTTCCAAAATACTAAGTCTTAAAAAGACATTTAGCCTTTTGATAGTGATTATTTTCCTTCCTTTTTTAAAGAGCAAGCACTGCACCAATATTGGATTGGTGGATTCCATTTCAAAGAATATGAAATCAATTGGAGATTCTCAAGTACTGGTTTTATTTGTCTTTTAAATAGATGGGTTTTGTCACATGCACACACACATTTCAGGACAAGCTTCAAAAATCATGCAGTTGTGCCATAAACTGTCTCTCTGTGAATAAGCCAAAGGGGTGCAGAAAGATGACCCACTTCTAGCATACCACAAAGAATGTCTTCTGTGGATTCACTTGAGAGGGTGTTTGTGGCTTTCTTGACTCTCCCTCTCCATTTTTGCTTTGTAAATTGCTAGGAAGCTGTGTTGAAATACCTGAGAGCTCTCTGACTCTCAGTTTTTGTTTGTAATCTGCTGCAGTTACAAATCTATTCTGTTTGGTATGGAAGCTGATGTTGCACAAATAGCACATGCTACTGGTGTTAAGCATACTCAGGCCTTCCTGGAAGCAGTGCCTGTTCCTTGCAGTGCAGCCGTTGCTGTGTAAGGTTTAGGCTTTGGATTTTTTCCTGGTTTTGCACCTTCAGTAACGCTAGTAGCTGAAGTGAAGAAGGATTACACTAGAAGTATTTATATTTTGCTTAGTTTGTCTCTCACAACCAAGAATTAAATCAGACAAGGCTAACAGTAGGCCAGAGTGCTGTGAAGCTAATGGCTCCTTTTTATCACTAGTGCAGAGTTACAGCGCGAGCTTGGGAATGGCACAGTGTGCACAGCCGTGCTCTAGCTTGTTGCTGCCTTCGTGTATGTGCGTGTTGCAATCCCTCGCTGATACGTTTTGCACTGTTAATCTACACTTCAGGTGTGAAGAAGTTATGACAGCTTTTAGTCTGTTCTCCTGACCTGCTTGATACTACCACCCGTCCTCAGAAAGTAACTTCCTTGCTTTCACATTTTAGAGATTTGTGTTTTTTCAAGGAAGATCTTTGTGCTTTCATTAACATGATCTCTCAGTCTCACGGAAGTATGGGTAAAAAGGAAGGGGGGAAAAAAAAAATCTAGGAAGGTTAGAATGCTACAAACAGCACCTTCTGCCCTTTGTAACTGCTGTGCTATGGGAAATGCAAGAAACGCACTAAAAAAGCATTGATAGTAAAGTGATTACTTTTCTCAGCTTTGTGGTTGAGCAGCATTTATCAAATTTCAGCTGTGTGAAGTGGCAGACATTTGCAGTGAGAATTCTGCTGTACAGCTATTTTGTCAGAGAGTATCAAGTTATGTTCAAGGTCCGAGACCTCTTTAATCCTTAACTGGTCTGGGACCGGTGTACCTGAGAGGCTGCCTCAAGATCCCCGACGAACATCATTGTCAACAGGCCGAGGTTAGCATAATGCTGACGCTTGTCTACGCGGAAAACAGGCCTTTCTCAGCATGGCTGGCTGCAAACAGGAACAGGCTGCCAAAGGAAAGCAGAGTTGCGAGCCCTGTTATCTTTTGCTTCATCTTCACGCGGTTCTTTGGCCTTGCCTTCCTCAGTCCTGTACGTGAGAAAAGCCCCCACCAAAAGCAGCGGGGCTGCTGCATGCAGAAGGAAGCAACAGAGCGCACCGTGCTCGCAGTCACGTTGGTGCGTAGCGGGCGGGTAAGCGACAGACGTACCCATCGAGCATTGCTCCGTCAGAGTGACTGCACTTCCCCGGGAATAAATGCAAACGTGCCTCATGCGGAGAGAAGTCCTTTGCGTGCCTCCAGCAGTCAGGAGGACAGGTGCTAGCCCGACAGTCAGAACTGCGTGTGCGCTGCCTCACGTTTTAGAACAAATCGTTTTCCTCTGAACTCTGTATAAATCGAGTTCTCTGGGAGCTCTGTGCAATCCTCGGTCTGCTTCCGAGAACCCACCAGAACGCTCAACTGGTGGGAAAAGGCAGAAGGGAAGGCAAGCAGGCAAGTATATGCTCAGCATGCTGAAACCCATTTGAACCTTGAGAGCAGAGGGTGCATGAATAAATAAGACAGTGGCCCAATGAATGAGGTTAGGCATTTTCCCCTTCTCGTGGAGTAGCAGAATAAAGTTTTCTAATCGTACAATTTCAGGCAGAATTCTAAAGCCAATGGATATCAACTTAGTTATTTCCCTTTCAGGAGGGAACTAAGTCTGAAGCTCGCTCTTCTTTAGTGCCAGAGCCCAGATGACCTGCGAGTAGTGACGGACAGGGGAGTGCTAACGGACACAAGTCACAGGAGGAGTTTAAGTGATCACGGCCTGGACAGTATTTAAAATGCCCTGTTGTAGCAGACTGATTTTGTTTGTGCTACGC